GCTGTATTAATAAAGATTCTATGCAAAAATAAAGTAGAAAAAGACCTTTGTAATGGTTTGAACATCAGATTAAGTATTAATTACCAAGGTAACTCAAGTTTTTCATTCATTCATCATTCTTTCGTTTCACAAATGTTTCAATCAAGAGCTATTTTATGCTAGCGAGAAAATAGAAAGGGTACGTATGATTACATTTTTTCATCAATCACGCTGAATTCGCGTGGTTTAATGTAGAGATTACTGTAAATTAATATTAACTACTAATTAATCTACTACTACTACTCTACTGAACCAAAAAAATCGAGTTCGAGAATCGAAGCACATATTGAGCCACTTGTACAAGTTTGCATGCTGAAATAGAATGCACTACCAAAATCATGGTCCCTCTACCGGATGATGTGGTGACAAATGGTTATGTTCACGCATTATTGGGCTTCCATCCCTGATGAACTTGTATACGCCAGCGGACCACACTGTGACACAAATCATATGTCAAAATTCATATTTTTGTTTGCCGGTTTTGAATGGAAAAAGTCCTAAAAATGTCATGTAGTCTTTTTTCTTTCTTTTCAATTTATTATGTTTGTATTATTACGATAATGTTATGACACGAGGAGAGTGCACTCTACTCTAGTACGGTGCACACACTGTGTGCGAATTAAGTAAGCGATTAACTGATAGTGACTCTATATTTGTATCTAATTTTAAAAGAGACGGATAATAAAATCTATAATCTAGCGAGCACATAAAACACTTTCTATTTGAGTTTATAGCGGGGACCACAGAATCACTAAATACGCTTTGTTATAAGAGCACATGCGTGAAGCGCTTTCTACAATGGGCACTGTTGATCGGGGTTAGTTCTACAAACAGGAAGCTTAAAGATAAAACAACCGAAACGGAGAAGCACTAAATACGAAAATATTGTATCCACAATCATCAGACATAATAAAACAAAAACAATTTATCGTTGCAACGATTTGTAATTCGGGATATGGTCTGATCTAGGAAAGATGTCTTTATGAGTACCAAAAATATAAAAAGAAGCTGCATCTACAATAGTGCTACTCAATAATAAGTCTAAGTATCTGGTATAATAGGAATTATTTATCTATTATCAACGATATGTACGTAACGTTTTAGTAGCAGTAGAGGTTCGTCCAGGGAAGTACTGCCACCTTATCTATTTCTGCCACCAAGCAGTAATGTCAGCATTAATGTGTTCCGGTTTTGAAGGGTAAGGGTGCTGGTGAAATTGCAGGCTACAATCAACTTACGTCACAGGGTGACGGGCGCAGTGGCAGTGCAACTCAAATCTTTGCGATTTAAAGCTCTTAGTGGCACTGCAACTGTTATGGATAGGCGTTTAGCTTACCATCAGGCGACTTGGTCGTCCCATCACTTGATATTAAAAAAAGAAATGAAATATTCGCTTTATTATCTAAACTATAAAATTTTGCTGTCATGAATTTAAGATAATTTCACTATCAAATTTATTTTGTCAATGCGTCAGGAAGCCAAGAATATGATAAGATAAACCAAAGATACAATATAATGTAATAGAATGACAAACCAAAAATAATACCAAATATATTTTTCATTTAGGATTCGCAAAATATGATGCTTGATGGCGATGCAAGCTGCAGTGGTGCAATCTCTAAAGTATCTAATTCTTCATGGTTTATTGATACCGACACATCCGCATTCTGTATGCGATCACGTAAATGACACCTTACATTCGCATACCTGACGTACTATGATTCCATTGGCAAGATTACAGCCGTAAATTAAATTACGTTCGCTTTAATGTCGATCACTTTATATTATTTAGAGAACAAGACGAGATTAGTGCGTTCTCGTTACGCGCAGCCGCAAACGAGCTGTCTTGCGCCCGCGCCGGCAGACAACTGTCACCCCCAATTATGGCCGCCATGACACTTTTGCGCGTTTGCTCTTCAATATAGAACGTTTGAGGAATTTGAATTTAAAAGAGGTCTTTTGTTTTTTGTTCTTTTCGGTTGGTTTAGTAGTTGAACTTTGATGTTTCTAAAAATTCAGCTATTTTCAGGGTATGGCATACTTACTTATAAACAACTTTGCAAGAAGATAATAACATTGTAATTGCTATAATATGATTATAGAGATCAATAGAATCTGCACAAGCCATACTTATGTAATTAAAAAATAAATAAAACCTTAAATTTCCGTTCAGTAAATTGAAATCACAAATACTAATATTATATGAAGAGGATGTATACGGCAGAACCCTTGTGTACGTAAATAAATAGGAGAAATTTGAGAAATCTTATAAAAATAAAATAAATCACACAAGTTTTCTCTTTCTCGTAGGTTGTTGAGATATTTACATCAAAGAACTTGAAAACTATAAAAAATATTGTACACACACTGTAGTGGTCTGGCAACCAATGAAGCGGCAGGCTACAGGCGTTTTTCGACATTTTACACTAATTCGAAGCGACGGCGATGGGCCTGGCTTCTATTCCCGGCTCGAACCGAGACACTGAACGGATGTTTCAGGCACAGACTAGCTTATTATGGATAAATCTTTGTTGAATTGAATTACTTAAGTACTTTGTCAGAAAATAAAGTTTATATTTTTAACTATATTTTTACCTACATTACCATTACTACTCATGTAAATGAGAAAATGCTGCTAGAATTACGTTAAAGATTTTTCTAGATTAGATAGCCTTTAGATATTACCGCAGATCTACCAATAAGCATAACATCCTGTAAATATCACTTATACGCAGACGATACACAATTATACTACTCATTTGACGGAAAAAGTTCACAATTAGCAGTGGATAAAATTAATAACGATCTTCAAAATATTTACATCTGGTCACAGAGGAACTCTCTGGTTCTAAATCCTGGGAAATCACAAATGTTAATCTTGGGAACTAAAACACAAATAAAACAGGTATTAGATTGTGCTAACAAAATTAAAATTAATGACGTTATTCTGGAACAGGTCAAGTCGGCACGGAATTTGGGACTTATTTTGGATGAAGAACAAAAATACGTAGAGCACGTTAATCTGAAAATTAGAAACGCCTTCTTTAGGTTAAAAACTCTATACCAAATCAGGCCATACATAAAGGAAGAGCTACGGTTACTCCTAACAGACGCTTTAGTGCTATCACCCTTTAACTACTGTAGTGTTGTTTTCGGCCCTAGAATTAAAACCTGCACTGAGAGATCTATACAGAGAGTGCAAAACGCGTGCATCCGTTTTGCCTTCGATATACCCAGGCGAGAGTACATTACTCCCTATTTGAATAAAAAGGGAATCCTCAACATGAACGCGAGAAGAGAGCTCCAGTATGCTTGTTTGGTCCAAAGAGTGGTATGGAACGGGAAACCGGAATATCTCTTCGAAAAACTCACATGGCAGAGAGACGTTACGCATAGAAGTCTTCGTAATACTATATGCGACATGTTAAGGGTTCCAATACATAAGTCATCACGGTACAGGGGTTGTTTTAGGTTTAGTGCTGCAAGAATATGGAATGATCTGCCACCACCAATGAGGAAGAAAATCAGTACGCATCGGTTCAGAGACTTATTTAAATCAGCCTTAATAAAAAGGCAACTTGCGGCGGTGGATCTAAAGCACTCTTTTTGGAAGGCTATAAAGCTGGGGAATTATTTTGTGCCCTAATTTATTTATCTTAATATTTTTACTATCTTTTTTCTTCACACACACACTCATACACACAAGTACATGCACGCACACACACACACACACACATGCACACACAAACGCGTGCATAACGAACATACATTCATCTTACGCGAAGTTGTAGAGTGACCTACTGATAGTTTATTTGGATTTTTTTTTTTTAATTGTTCATTTTTTATTAGTATTATTTTTTGTTATATTAGTATTCACATTATTATTGCAATATTTTTTGTTTAGAAAATTTAGTAATACCGTGTTCATTGTTAGGCCCTCCATACAATTAAGCCCGCCCAATATCTTAGGGCCAAGGAGGTGGCTGAAAAACAGCGCTGTCTGCGACAACAACGGTTGCAGGCAGCACAAGCTGAGACACCTCCTTTTGCCCTGTTGACATGTTTGGCGTGCATTACGATAATTGTCTCTACTTATTATTATTATTATTTTTATTGTTTCATGTAATTATGTGCAAAACATGTTTTAATAGGACAATAAAACTTTTTGTATTTGTATTTGTATTTGTATTTGTATTTGTATAGCTCTACTTAAACTGTTATAGTAATTATACAGATTACCAATTTCCTTTTCCAGTTATATAATTTTAACAGTATAATTGAATTCTTTAATACTGCTGGCTTCTGATTTTATTTCACGCCACAATCACAAAGTCTAATTTCAAACCTCATAAAATCACAATTTCCTCCGCGCCGCGTTGTCTCAACAACATAAACTTTTCACAACCAATTACCAAACAACTCTATGTTCATTTACTACCCAGCTATTATAAATAATAAACGTTGACGTGTCAATTATTGAACCCAAATCTTTTTCCGCTCGAAAACTGTTTTTTGTCGAACTCTACGGGCGGGCAATCGTAGGCCCCGCCTCAAGATGCTATGCTACTTCAAAAATACTTCTAAGATACCTCCCATGCAAAGGTAGAGCACTCTGAAAACTATACCAAATCATGCTCGAAATAAAGCTCTATTCACTACAGCAGCTACTAAATCTCATCTTCAAAGCAATGTGTTTAAAAATTAAATCTTAAAAACAGTTACCATAAGGGCGTTGTTAATTTTCACTTCTTTGCTGTGGGTGTGATCTCTGCCATAGTTTTTTCTTCGGCACATGTTTTCAGCACTGCGAGGTGCAGCCAGATCGGAGCACAAACTCCATTAGTTCGCACATTAACTCGAGTTAGTCGAGTTATTTAATTAAATAAAGTAATTCAATAAGGTGGTGAATTAATAACAATTATTTAGTCAGACTTCGATCGTTGTTGGATTTGATGAGCTTAGCCGTCCAGTAACTCAGCGTGACATAAACTGTCCGTAGTTTTGCAGTAAAAGCGTATAAATTATATTTTTTATTGAAACCGATGTTGTGTTGCGAATTTTTAGTTCGTTGAAGTGTTATGGACCAAAGTAAAGGTGAGTTTTCAGCAATATATTACTCGCCTAACCAATGCCGACGCTTTGTAATTTTTACATAAACTAGCCGTTTGTTAATAATTCATGAATCGCCTTTTTTCTTGTCGTGAAAATTTAAATGTTGAAAATAGAAAATAAAGTTACCAAGAATTAAACTACAAATAAATACTTAATAGAAAATCTAAGTTGATTAATAGTAGATTGTACAACAAGTGCATAATATAATATAATAGTAAATAAGACCACTGTATAAGACGTGTAAGTCAAGGGTAAAATGGGTTTTATGAACGAGTTATATACACTCTGTTTTTCACTACGAAGAAAGCAGCAATATTGCAAATCGAGTTCTTAGGTTTTCGTGATTGTAACACATTACAGGTCCCATGGTCACGGTTGACAGTCAACTGTGACCATGGGCCCTGTAAAGGGTCCGAAACGTTGGTTTGTTTGAAAAAACAAATATACGCGATTTAAATCCGGAATAACAGTTTCTTTTCCCAATATTGCAAATTTTTATTTTTTCTTTTTTTTTATACGTGGCTATACCGTGAGTGACCATGGAACCTGTAAAGGGCCCGAAACGTTAGTTTGTTTGAAAAAACAAATACGCGATTTAAACCTGGAAAAATCACGTGGTCTGTCGGAAAATTAGTTTCATTTCCCAATATTGCAATTTGTAAATGTTTATTTTTTTCTTTTTTTTACACGTGACACTTGGTTCAGGTCGGACTACATAATTATGTTATATGTATTTTACAAGCTTTTATTTTGTAATATAACACGGATTAAACAAATAAAAATAAAATTCTATTTTATAAAGTTCTAGTATGCGTGGCTGTTGGCGGCTGATTGCCTTGGTCTTAAACGAAGATTTAACTTCGTTTAGGTACTCGAGCTTAAAAGCCTATTTTATGCATCCTACACCCAGCATAAATATGAACTTTAAGAGCATGACAAGTTTATTGTAAGACTCATTGGCATATCAATAGGTCTAAAAGAATGCAAATAGGTATACTATCAATCTTTAAACTATTCTGAACTTGGTGTAACTTTCTCTGCGTAGATTAAGTACTTCGAGCAGTCTACTGTACCTACAATATCTTTATTGGCCCGAAAAATCGTTCTAATTTACTCTCTAATTGTTCCATGTGCAACTGCGTAGGTACATGGAACAAGTGGGAATAAACCTCTATTTACACGATACCAGTAATGCCTTGGCTTATTGGAATAGCTCGTCGATTGACCCCGTGTAAACGGTCCTTAGGTATTCGCAGATTGTTGCACAGGGTGCGTTAGCGTAGGTACCTACAGAAAAGGAATGGTGGGGGGTTGCGGGAAGGCTCCTTTTAAAGCAGCAAAGAATACGAGTAAATGCTAATTGCAGCTATTTGTATCACTTCGAAATGTGCTTGGGTAAAGTGTATTTTTACGAATTGCATAAATTTTCCCGCCGTGACAACGCATTGGTGACTTGGTGAATATCGTACAATTTCTTTTGTTTTGTTTATTTCTTACAAAAGGCATAAATATTACTTTTCAGATCCCTTACTTGAGAAATGAATGGTTCTCCATACAAACTTTCATCCCCTATTTCACCCTCTTTAAGATTTATTTCTGTGACAAAAAGTAGTATTATGTCCTTCGCCTAGGTCCCATTTATTTCTATACCAAAATTCATCAAAATTAGTTCAACGTGTTGGGCGCGAAAACGTAACAGAGTTACTTTCCCATTTATAGTATTAGTTTGGATATATCCAGTATGTTAGCTTATAGGGCAAATTGACTTTTCAAACTGCTACATTAAACAAAAATGTCCGAAGCTGTAGCAAAAATTCAAGTGTACTAAATTCAATGAATTCGGAACGAGGATCTACGTGGAATAGAATGCATTTTATATATTTTAAATAGAATACCAAGTTTCCGTTGAGTCACCAGCGCGGCATCTCATGATTAAGGACCACACAGACTGGTTCGAAACTGCTCAGCAAAAATTCTGAAAAAATGGTGATTATATAATTTGTATTATTCGTTAAAAAACCGCCAATTTTTGAGCGGTGTTATGTGTTACCTACGATATAGGGTAGAATACCTACCTACTTCAGTCTGGAACAAAGTTTGCACTCTTACGAAAAAAGGTTAATTGACAAAGTTCTGAAGTAGCTATAGGACCCAAAAAAACAGCCTACCGCATTGGCCTTCGCAGTAAGCAGTCAAAGAAGCATAAAAACGTTTTCCACGTGTTTATGTGTAACCGATATGACTGCGCGCGCACCGCGCAACAATGAACCACAGAGAGCGGCCGCCGGTGCGTGTGCGGCGCGACATGTGCTGAAACAAGAGTCAGGAGTTTGTAATGAGAATCGTTTAGGAAATTCTTCTACTGCTTATTAAAAATATAGAAAGATAAATACTGTTGAATCTTCAGAGGAACGTGCGACTACAGAACTTTAGTCTGCGAAAACATTTGCCGTAGACCTCCACAAGTATGATTAACCAATTTTTTACGCAGTTTGTACCTAATTGCTCTTCTTTTCTTTGTTTAACAGAAACATCAAGTACTACACGACAAGAACAACCAAAGATTTACGATTCCAAAACTGAACGTACCTATAACATCAATTCAAATTATTCAGAGAATCACAATTTATTTCAAATGATCAAGTGTCATGAAGACAGTCTTCTAAGACTTCATCATTTTACTGCTGGAAGACAAGCAGGATCTTATGATCCCACATATCAGAACGATTTAAGCTGGTATTCCAAGGATCTTCAGAGACAGTATATGAAACCTGTGGATTATTTAGCTTATGAAGATATGAGACGAAAGATCGAAGAAGCCAAAGGTGGGAAAGAAAAGGAAATACCGAAAGAAATTGAAGAAGAACGAGAGAAAGGAGATGAGAGGAAGAAGCCTAGGAGGAACCGGACGACATTTACCAGTCAACAGTTGGCAGCGTTGGAGAAAGTATTCGAAAAAACTCATTATCCTGATGCTTTTGTCAGAGAAGACTTGGCAGCAAGAGTCAACTTGACAGAGGCTAGAGTTCAGGTAACGTTATCAATAATTCCTGCAATAAGTAAATATTGGTAAATATTTTGTCTTTGTTACGTTACGTTACGTTGTAAAATAAGACGATTTGGTTTGTACGTGTGGCGCACTATAAGTTTCCGGAATGAATAATAAAAAATACTATAAATGGTCAGAAATGGATTTACTTATTATATCGAGTTCTTAGGTTTTTGCGTTTGTTACACATAGGAAATGAAACTATTTTTCCGGATTTAAATCGCGTATATTTGTTTTTTCAAACAAACCGACGTTTCCGTTGTCTAGTCTTAGTTAGTAGTAATCTTAGTTATTAGTCCGTTATCTGCCCAGGATGCTGCGAGAGGCCATTGAAATTAAAAAACATCCTAATTTCAACAGGGAAGATGGTTTCTCCGTACCACCAGTTTGGGACCCAGTATTTCCTGTAATGAAAAATCCCAAACAGACATAAGACTGCAGTACTAATTAATATGTTTTAGTTTATTGTAATTTCTATTAATAATTAATAATAAATTAAACTTAATAAAAATTCATTCAATAAAAGAATTTGTAAAACTTAATGTAGCGTAAATTGGAATGTTTTCTTTGTAAAATTAAATATAAGGTATTTAATTAGTAACTATTGTAACTATAGTGAAAAAATAGGGTGGTTTGCATTAATATTAGACATAACTGGTTGAAGACTGTACCATCTCAGTCAACCGTGACCATGGGACCTGTAAAGGGCCCGAAACGTCGGTTTGTTTGAAAAAACAAATACTTATACGCGATTTAAATCCGGAAAAATAGTTTCATTTCCTATGAATTTACTTATTGTTTCTCAAAATATTCTCCGTTAGCGTTAATGGACTTTTTCATACGAATGAACCAATTTTGAAAACATTTATGCCACTCCTCCGTGACAATCTTTGAAACATATTTTTCATACTCTTCAACAGCCTTTTCAGGTGATGAAAATCGTTGACCGCATAACTGGTTGCAAAAATTCAAGTGCCAAGGTCGGGACTGTACGCGGGATGGCTTATAAGGTCAACGTTGTTCACCTTCAAAAATTCATTTGTTTGTCTGGCCGTGTGAGAACTGGCACTATCGTGGTGCAAGATGATACAGCGTTTACGGTTATTTTTACGGAGTTTGTCAAAAACTTCCGGCAAACAAATGGTCGTGTACCAATCACTATTCCCGGTACAATGATTCTCCAAAGCAAGAGTAGCCACGTGTCCAGTTTTAGTAAAAAAAGAAGCAATCATCCGCTTAGAGGCACTTTGCACGCGGGCCACTTTGGTTGGTTTCGGCTCATCTCGAAAGACCCTTTCGCTCGATTGCTGCTTTGTTTTGGGATCGTAACTATAAATCCACGTTTCGTCACCTATTACTATGTCCCACACCAAATATGACGCCCCTTCGTTGAATCTGGTAAGCATGGCATTGCACCAAGTGACGCGATCCGTTTTTTGAGTCTTAGTCAAATTGTGTGGGATCCACTGGGAGCACAGTTTTTTCACACCCAAATGTTTGTGTACTTTTGATTGTATTTGACTCATGCCTATGCCTAACGATGCCCGAATCTCATGGTATGTCACATGCCTGTCTGTTTTGATCATACGGCGCACAGCATCGATGTTTTTGTTGTTCACAGCAGTGGACGGGCGACCATCACGAAATTCGTCACTGAGATTCACACGACCGCTTTGAATTCTGCAAACCAGCTATAAATAGTCGTCTTGCATGGTGTTTCATCGCCAAAAGCAGTTTGAAGCCGAGCGAAGCTCCGCTGAGTTGTTAAGTTACACTTAGAGTCGTAGAAAATCATACTACGAAAGTTTTCACGAATTAAATCCATGGTGATGTAGACAACCAATTTCTAAAATGACGCCACAATGTAAAAACAAGTGACAGTCAGACGAAACAAATTTATTCTACAGCCAAAGAGTTCCATTTTCAAATGTTGTAATTACTTTTTAAATATTGTTTATGTGCCAGTTCCGGAAACTTATAGTGCGCCCTATGGAGATGGATCACGCTTTTTGGTTTTTAATACATTTGAAAATGTTATGTGGCCTAAAATAATCGTAATGAGTAGACACTGCCAATAAGAATAAGGTTCAATTGCCTTTTTGTAATAATAAAACAATCTATTACTTCACAGGTGTGGTTCCAAAATCGTCGCGCAAAATTCAGAAGAAACGAGCGATCAGCTCTATCTAATCATCGGGGTTCCACTACTCACAGTACCCCAGAACCAGTACCAGTGCCCATCGGGATACCGCACCAAGACCCTCGACAAGAATACCCAAGAACAAAAGAACCTTGGCTTCATCATTTCCAAACGAATAATTTGAATTTTAACCTTGGTATTCCCATTACAAATCCAGGATTGTACCAGAATGATTACTCTTTAATGATGCAGAACGTCAGTAACCGACAATATGTCCAAAACTCCAATACACTTATGAGTCAAAGTATGAACTATGGAGGCACCGGTGATAACTATGGATCTTGCGCTATCATCGGAAGTTACAGTGGTTCTTTGCAACCAGCACACAGTTCCTACAACCTGAACCTGAGACTGAGACCACACGACTTTAGCCTTAACAATATTACTTTATGAGATTGTACGATACTCAAGATACTACTGAGACGATAAAATATTATAATAGGTAGGTTATAAGTCTCAGTTGTTTTTATTCCATTTCTTACATTTTGTTCGAAACGGCGAAAATGTGTGGAAAGTTCGTCGAATGATGCAGATAGACATATAGATTACACGCTAGAAGCCACAAAACGGCTTTTAAATGTATGGTTTTAAAAATTTCAGTGAGAACCAATGGTTGTTTTAGCAGAAATGTAAAAAAAATGTAATAAAAAACATGAAATAATGTATTTAGTCAAAATATTAACACTTTGAAACAGGCGTAGTAAATCGGACGGAAGGCAATAAGCCATTTAACAAGTACGGGTCAAGAGTACGTCCAGCTTGAAACTAAAGATTAAAATTCAAATCAAGAACGGTCCATAATAGTTCAAAGTGTCAAATTTGCTGTGCTCTTGGCTGTCCAGGGTCAAGATCACGTCAAGCTTGACACTTAAGACTTTAAATCCAACTCTATGTCGCTTACGATAAGAACGGTCCAAAGTAGAAAGTGTCATGCTTGACGTGCTTGCGTGCTGAGAAAAATTAAACATTTATTGTTAGCCTTAAATTAAAGGTAAATGGGAAATCAATAAAAATACGATGTGTTACGAAATTTGTTTTTCACAGTAAATCAGTTTTCCACGACAACACCTGATTGTGACGTCACACTTTAAAGGTGGATTCACAATGCAACAATTTCTGCCAATATATTGCCGCAATTTATCGTGGTGCGAGATACGAACTTGGGTTGACCAATCAGGAGCTAAGGTCGTAGCTCCTGATTGGTCAACTCAAGATCATATCGCGCAACGCGTAGCGCAATAGCGACAATATATATTATATTATAATTTGTGCATTATGAATCCACTTAACGGCGCCAAATTACCGTTTTGCTAAAAAAGGACGCGGCATCACGCCACCACTGACTTAACCATTCATATTTCTGTGTTAGTTTAGATCTCAAAATACGAACTTCTGTTCTTTCTTCATTATTTCGATCTTGCCTAATGGGTTAATGCCTTATACCCTATCAAAGAAATGAAAATACGTTGAATTATGTGCTTTAGCACTGTAATTAGTACACTGTAGTAAAAAAAGGGAACAATAGTAAATTGAAAATATTAAGCTTACAACTACAACATATAAAGATCTTTAAACTTAACTACTATACAATAAAATCACATTTTAAAGAAACTACATACCACTATACTGCTTGTAATGGGTTGGCTAGAGTCCGCGCTATTTTTGCAACTAGCTAACTTTAAAGCAAGGGTCATTTTAAAAATTATATTTTAGGGCGTATTTAATTTAAGCGCAATTTAGTCCATGATTAATGAAACACGCCCAGTACGGACAGGGCGCGACTAGCGCGAGATACTGCTATTCTCGCATAGAGATCTCGTGCTTTATGTCGCTTTCGTGCAATTCGCGATTGTTCGTGCTAGCCCTGCAGAATTGGTGAATCGTAAAGATGTCTTTATTTCGTCATGATAATGTCAAATCATATATATGTATGATAATTAAAATATAGACAAAAATAAAGACATCTTTACGCCGTCAAAAACTACTGCAGTTTGGGACACCCCCAGTTAGGGTGAAACCGTACATTTTTTATGATTTAAATTTTGTTAATTTAATATGCACAAGTAAACCCGCAGGAAATCATATGTATTAGTTTTGCGCTTGCAGCAGCACCACACTGACCGATGTATATTTTGCAATAAATGAGTATTATTGTCTCGTTCGGACACGGTCGTTTCATTCACATTATTTAATAGTACTCCAATCATTTGCATTGCAATTTGCATCTCTTTATCTCCTTGCATGGACGATGCAAGGAGATAAAGAGATGCAAATTGCATCTCTTACTTGCATTTACATACATCTTCCAGTGCAACGTGTGTTAACGACACAGGGTGTGTTACCGCATTCACCGTATTCTTATTTCGGTCTTTACAAAATTCTTTGGATGATAACGACTTTTTATAATGAATTTCAATGAAAAGGCAATTCTAAAAATTTGCCGAAAGACAGCAAAATATTAACAGGGCCCATAAATACATCGCACCCGTCATGGAAGAATGGCATAAGTGCAGTTACGTGAAAAACATTTATCGCTCCATTAGATACAGAAAAATATAACCCACATTCTCTCCGATTCTTGTAACTCTATCAACAAATATTGTACATAATTTAATAATATAATAACAATTGTGTGTCAGACAACCCGATTGCCTGGTGTCAAACTTGCGAATTCCCTGTACTATTAGCAACGGAATTCTGAGACACTTCCCAGAACACCCAGAATAAAGTAAAAAAAAAATTTTTTACAGAAGTTAATTCTCCAACTCGGGACATCCGCAATGTAAACCGTTATGTCACCGAGGTCGTCTAATAAAATTAGATTCATATTTATTACTTATAAATGTTTTCATTTCTACTTTGATGTTGTACGGACTTTGCGGCCAACCTAATACGTACAGTACAAAACTAATCATATTAACTCTTTCATATATTAATTTGTTATTATCACATGTGACGACCAACATAAATTTTCATATTATCTTAATGGTTTTCTAAAGCCTGTATTTATAAGTCTATCTCACTCAAGTGAAGGATGGATATTAAGTTCTTACCTGCTATGGCACACATTAGACGCGCGTGTTGCCAATGCGCGCTTACTACTGTAAGGGCGCCACTTCACCGCGAACATGCTCTTGTAATGTAACAGTTCAAAAGTGAGCATTACAGCAGTGAGGAAGGTGAACCGAGCATTCGTTGCGCAACACTTGTAACATTCGGGAACCTTCACCGGAAACATTCGCCTGTAATGTAACAATCTGTTCAGATTGTAAGGTTGCGACTCCACCAGATATAGTGGAAATGTTTTCAAGTCTTTACTTAATTTAGGTGCCTAAGTGCCCTTGAGTGCCCTTGAGTGCCTTTGAGTCCCTTTGAGTACCTTTGAGTGCGTTTGAGTGTCTGGAGTGCCTTTCAGATTCTTTCTGAAGGAGGTATTTGTAATGTAATGCTCGAAAACGAATCTTGAATGTTACATTACAGGCGAATGTTCGCGGTGAGGGAGCGCCCTAATACACCAATTTAATTCCTAAGTAGGCGAGCAAAGCAAACAAAACGCGCGTCTAACAGTTGTCATGTGAACTGGCCCTAAACTGTATACATTGGATACAATCGCACATGAAACCAAATATTGTCGTAACTCAAAATTGTGGTATTGAGAAAATATAATTCGAAAATTAAAAAATACTGAAACAAAAAATCTTATTGCGCATAATATAATTATTTTTATTTATAAATAATACTCATTTATAAACGAGAATAAATTTATTACATTTTCAAAACGTGTTTTCTCAATTCCACAATTTTGAGTTACGATAGTTTTTGATTTCGTATGCGACATATTGCTTGAGTGCAATATGTCGCATCTATGCTTCTCAAGATATTAGCAAAATACAGCCGTTATGGATTTAGGGTCGTATTCTATAACTCTACTCAATGCTCAAGTCAGGATTGCACTGGAAACATAAGCACTGGAAATACGACCCTAATGGCAGGGACTTGAGTATGATTTCGAGTGCTTTAAACCATACTCAAATCCTGACTTGAGCATTGAGTAGAGTTCTAGAATACGACCCTTAGTATCAGACTTAGGACCTGCTTATTAAATACAGGCCTCTGCAAGGTACGTATATAGTGATTTTACTTTAAATTAGACAGTAAAACAATAACTTATAACATAAAGATTGAAAAACTGATTTTGAATGGAGATGGTGGCACTATTTGTACCATTTAAGATTTAGCAACATAGCGAGAATAGATCAGCTTTATTATCTTTTATATTAACTGTATAGTTTTGATAAAACATGGTCCTGGTTAAACACGGTTAAAAGCAATTCTTAAGGCCAGTGTGTGAAGTCAAATCCTTGGCCAAAACCTGATGTTTTACACAATATTTAATTTATACATTTTTTTTCTTTTGTATGTTTCAATTCTATAGTGAAGATAGGTTTCTGAAACATATAAGAAATATTGTATTCTGACCTTGTCTTCACAGTCAGGGATTAACTCCATTACAGTTATATCACACGATACAATGTCATCCTAAGTGAAAATCTCATATGTGATTTCTATGTAATTTTTCAGGACAAAGGTAAAAATGTGTGGCATTTTAATTAGTTAATTATACCTCTTTGAGATACTATATTACTTTAATAATATATTTCAGTAAGAAGTTTATAAGTTTTTCTTCAACAAAAAACAAACTGTGTAAAATGCGTATGCAAGGTTTTCATTCTAAGGTAACAACAAATAGTTTCTTAATTGAGTTATTAAACCCAAAACTATTAGTATTTTTGTGACAAGTTTGTTGTTATAATCATTTCGTAGGTTTTCACAAATACAACATATTGGAAACGTAACTTTTTTTAAATTGAAATTGCGTAAATTTGTTTTTTCAAACAAATTAACGATTTGGGCAGTATATTGGTCCCATGGTCACAGCTGACATGAATAAAGACCCCAAAAGCTTGATATGTTTGAAAAAAACAAATAAATATACACAATTGAGATTTAGAAAAAATAGTTTCATTTCCAATTTGTTGGTATGAGTTTTCTAGACTTATTTACATAGAAATAAGCTGGTATTTTACAAAATCACTTAATTAACCTGTTACAATATGTTCTATTGACATACACATCTGTAACAATGTTGGTCAGATTTTTTAAAACTGTTTTATGGTATATAGGATTTATGGACTATTAGAGACACTGTGTGGCTTTAAGACGCTACTGTGTGTTTCTAATGATTGTATAATTAGTTCAACATTATCTGGCATTTTTCCAATTAAAATTAAACAACAGGGGTAATGAACTACCTTTAAAAAAACTATTGCGTTTTATAGTCGCGTCAGTGTTATTTTGTTTTATACTATGATGTAATAACCTAAATATTTGAATACTTTTCAATATTTGTAGAATCATTTAAAATTTCAAGCTTATTTTACAAGCTGCATAAATTAAATGTTACATTACTTAATATAAAGTTATAAAATATATGCTAATATAAAAATAAACACTGCGAAGTTTTGAAAACAACTGCCTAAAATTTATTTCTTTTCACTAATGATGGTCTCAAGTGGAAAAATGCCAGTTTATATTAAACCAACTTTACATGACATATGACCAGTTAAAGATTTATTTACTATAATTATTAAACAATCGTAAATATTAAGACATGTTAACAATAGGCCTAAACAACACCCACAGTCGCTCAAACTCTGCCTTGAATTGTCTTACCAGCTTCTCTTGGGAGGTAACTGTCACATCTTCCCAATTACCATTTAATGCTTGATTAGTCCAGTTCAATGACCCCATTATCACTAGGGGTGTCACTTCAGTAACTTTGTCACCATCAACAGATGCATCAAGTATACAGAACTTATGGTGCATTAAATTGGTGCTCTTCATCCATCTTACAGGAATTCCTTGCTTTTCCAATTTTCTCACATTAGAGCCGGCTGAAAACGCCATATCAGCATCAATTATGATCCTTACCTTCACACCTTTATAGTTTAATTTCAGGATAGCATTCGCCATATCCATATTAGTCAGAACATACATGCAGATGTCCAAGGAGTACCGCGGTGAGTTCAAATGGAACAAAAGTCGTTCCATACTTTCTGTAATCACGCATCGAGAATATTTACTCTTTTTCAGCACTGTGGAGTCGCTTGAAAACATAATTACTTCGTGAACCTCTATAGGTTTGTCTTTCTTCTTTTTCCTTGTCAAAACCTCGTACGCCCAATGCGTAAATATTGCAAAAGATGCACTTATAAGCAAAAGTTTTGCGTAACTTTTAACGCTCATAATACCGGCAAAAGAATTGTTAAGGTTATCCCTTTGCGTAATTCTAGGACTATGTCTTCTATGTACGGAGCTTTGGCCGTAAATCAGATATTAATAAAATATTACTTGTAATAATTGCAAACAAAACCGGTGAAATTCGCGGTTGTGTTAACCAAATAGCAGCACGCAGACGATTTTGACATTTATTTGACAGGTCCGTAGATAAAACAAGTTCAACGGGCAAAAAAAAATAAAGCAAAATGGGTCGAGCGAGCGGTTTTATAAAAGCTCTTTACTTTTCTATTTTACCATTAACTATAAACTGGGGGACTGGAGGGGGTTGAAGTTGTCGGTCACATCACGTAATAATTTCCTATATTTTAAAAAGGATAACGTAAATGTAAATTATTTTACGAACCGAGAATTGGTTATAGGTTAAATAAACTTATTGTAGAATAAGCTATTTTTGAACGAAACAATACAAATGTTTGGTGAATAATAAATACTACAATAAAATATAATAAAACTAAACACGGTTTGTCACGTTTTCGTGAAATTTCGTGCCGTGATGTCATAGGATTGCTGAGTTGTTGTTTAGTGATGTTAAACATCAGTTGCTTTAAAACCAATAAGTCTTTCACAATATAGTTCTGTGTAGAGCACTATCGTATCACATTAAATGCGTAATCAGCACTATATAAGGCTATATAGCGCTATTCGCAAGCTGCACAAGGCCTCTATCGGGCCAGCATGCAATGGAGATGAGCATTCCGGTGACGTCATGGCTTCATGCAACAAGTAGCTGTGTATTGAGAAGCTGCAGAGTTATTGATAAGACTCCGATAAGAGATTAAGATCAAACTTCAAAGGTGAAGGAGAAGCTAACAAGTTTTCGCATTTCAAATTCACTCTTAAAGAACCGAAAATGGTAACAGGAATCGTCGCTGGCAGGCTAGCTCTTGTCACAGGTAACCTCTTGTTTTGTTTACCTTTTCAAGTAGTTATTCTTTTGTTTTTATTTATGATTTCAATTCCGAACATGTGTTGCTCACTTGTTTTTGTAGGTGCCGGCTCCGGTATAGGCCGCGCCGCATGTCAGGTGCTGTCTAGAGAAGGCGCCACAGTCATTGCCGCTGATTTGAACTATGATTCTGCTATGGAAACTATTAAGACCATTCCATTGGCTAGTGGTGCTAATGGTAAACTTTTATTTATAATCATTGACTTTTTATTTGTAAGTCAATGTTTATAATGATAAATATCCACATTTTGCTCTGAATTCAAACCAAATTTTTTAAATATACTATTTTTTGTTAAGGACTCACATTTGTTTTAAATTAAAATAAAATAAATAATAAAATCGGCCTTATTTGACATTCAACAACACATCAATCACAAAGAGGTAATTATTAAATGTTTACTTGTTTATTAATAACTCATTAATTATTTTCAGCTGTTGGTGACCACAGTGCAATAGAACTGGAAGTATCGCAATCTGCATCAGTGCAAAAAGCCTTAGATACAGCAATGGAGCACTACAAGGCTCCTCCAACAATAATCGTCAACTCTGCTGGCATTGTGAGGGACAACTGGTTGCTCAAGATGTCTGAAGAAGACTTTGACAAAGTTGTAGCAGTTAATTTAAAAGTAAGATAATAGAACTCACTAGAAAAGGCTATGGCTAGCAGTCATATGTACATATTATGGTTCTTAAATGCAAATGAAGTAAAGTATTTAAGTCCTGATTTTAACTCTGCTGCTGCTGCAATTTTTTCTATTTCAAGCATTGACCTACAATTATATGGACGTCGGGTCCACGCTAAAAAGTGTCCGAACTTATAGGGCGTTAAAATCATATACAGAGCGTCATTCATGCTCTAGTCTTGGTTTGCTCGACTGACAGCGAAGCAAGCAAAATTAGACAGTACTGCGATGACATTACAATTTAAATTCCACGTTTTAGCTTTTTCATATTCCTTGACGTGTCACTATGTTTAAATAGGTTGACTTGGGACATTTTTTTCGTGGTTTTTGTATTACACCCGTCGTCCATTTATTTGTAAGTCAATGATTTCAAGTTATCCTTTGGCACAGGTTAAACTCGCTGCAGTTTTTTGCTATTCTTCTCCATCTTTAAAGGTTCTTTTTATTGATATTTAAATATCTCAAACAATTATCATTTGTCTTTTTTCTTTTACAGGGCACATTCTTGGTAATGCAAACTTTTGCCAAGGCACTAACAGCAGCATCTTTGCCTGGCTCTATTATAAACATTTCCAGCATTGTTGGCAAATATGGAAATATGGGTAAATCAGTTTAGTACCTACATATTTTGTACAGTTTGCAGTGTTTATTTTCTTATAATATAATAATTTGGCATCATATAAGCCGATAAGATAGGAGCAGATATTTTGTGTGCTTTATGTACTGAATATTTTTTATATAGATTTAGATAAAAGACATGAATTTAACCTTCGTTACGAATCAGATATATTCTTTACTATTGATTATGATTATGTAATAAAATTCTAAAATGTTTTGTTTCTCATTATTACAGGCCAAGTGAATTATGTTGGGAGCAAAGCCGGTGTTGTTGGTATGAGTAGAGTAGCAGCTTTGGAGTTGGGCAAATCTAATATAAGGTAGACTTTCATTTTCATAAGTTCTAAATCTAGGTTCAGCAGACTAAAGAACACAAGTCAAATTTATTTGTTTTCAACTTCGAGTGGTGTGCTTTTCAACCATATCATTTTGGTAGTTGGCTGAGCAACTTTTTGGTAGTTTAATTAAATAAAGTTTGGTAGTTAAATTTAGACTGTTTTCTTATGTGGGTTAATATTCAATTATGAACATTTTGAAAACTTTTTCTAAGAATAAAGTATTGATGTTTTTTTTGAGTAAAAATGATAGTTTTTTCGCTCAATATACAGTTAAGCATTCTCTTACTATGCTTGAACAATAGTATTTAATGCCACTCCTCCTCACCTTTTTTTTGTACGCCGACTGCAGAGAAGAGCGTGGACATCCCCAATGAAGAAGAATCAGTTTTTATTGACATGTTTTTTAAATGAAGTATAAAGGTTTTATTGTAATCTTTTGACTTTGACTAGTATATTGATAAAGTAACGTAATTTTTTTTTCTAATTTGCAAGGGAGGGAATCGAAGTCGGGCGCAATGAGAAGTAAATGCTCACCTATTTTCGAATATAAATAATAAAAAACGCGGTGTATACTTAACACTGAATGTAGTTTGTTTCTTTTCTCTAAAATAAAAGCATAATCACCTTTTTTTTAAAATGGTGTCTTGATTACATATTTTTAAACAGAAGACGAGATGTTGTTTTTGAAATAGCTTATTTTTATATTATATTCGAAAATGTGTGAATATTTACACTTTATTTTTGTACTTACCACATCTTAGAATACAATAGAATATCACTTATTCCATAAAAAAATACGGTACAGTGCGCACACTATACATATAACGACAATAAATATAATAAAAAATTATGATTAAAACACAAGACTTAAAACAAATGGTAAACGTAACACGCCTCATTATAAGTTAATAAATAATACGAATAAATAGTTATTTTATGAATAAAATTAATAACAGTCAGCTATGAGATAGAGTGTGCGCTGTGCTGTTATGGAATCCGTCATTTAGTTAGCTTATTGTCGTCGCTGTGATAGTGCTACGACACTAACTTTAGTTTAATATTTACTAATTTAGGACAGAAGATCTTTTCATACTAGGAATGTACTTAATTACTAAAATGTTCAGGCATTTTCAGGGTTAATGCGATACTGCCAGGGTTCATTGATACGCCAATCATTAAGAGTGTTCCAGAGAAAGTCATGAAGGAGTTCTTGGCACGAATTCCTTTAGGAAGACAGGCTGATCCCGTTGGTGAGCAATTACTAATCAAATTAATTATACTATTGACAAATCCATTATAATTACACTAAATATATAAAAATAAGCATGCTTCGTAACCAATAAGTCAAGAGGGCTGCTAATCTATATACTACGAATCTTAACTTTGAAAAAGGTCAAAATCACGTTTTATATCCAGATAGCGCTGATCAATAACCTGGAAGTAGTTTCTGTTATGTAAATGGCCTTGGATATCAATTATAATAATTCCTGCTCAATATGAAAGAAGGATGGCGAAAGCGAATAACTATTACTAATAATTTGGCGTTTTAGTCTGTGCCTAGTTATGAATATATTTTTGTATATTTTTAGAAGTTGAGAATAAAGAAATCGTAAAACAATGTATTTTAGAATAAATGCAAGAACATAAAGCAATTGAGATTCAGTTCGGCCATAGATTAGGTAACGTTCTTGTACGTACGTTTCATTTTAAGCATGATTGAATGTTTACCTAACTGAAGTATTGGTTATTTCATAGTACACACACAAACATTAAAGCTATGAATTACTTAATGAAATAATCACATAAAGCAAACATAAAGCAAAAAATAAAATACAACATGACAAAAATATTTAGACAACATTTAAATGAGAGACAATGAAAGTTGCAAATGAACGTTTTGACAAGACTCTTTGTTTAAATTTTTATTGAATAGATATTCAATTGTTTTTTTTTTGGTGAAATTACTCCACTAGTTTGTTATAATTATTAATGCAAAGATACTAGAACTAAGAAATAGAACACTCAGAAAAAAATCCTTCGATCCGGCCGGATTCGAACCGAACCGGATTTCTCATAGATGGCGCTACGACTAAAAAGTCGTTGAAAAACCAAATAGAAAGACACGACGCAAGTACATAGAAAAATTCGTGAGGTCCGCTGGTTCGTTCCGTTGTTTAGTTGGTGTAGGGTCTGGCACAGTAAGCTAGAAGACGTCAGTTCGAATCCGGCCGGATCGCAGGAATTTTTTCTGAGTGTTCGATCTTTGTATTAATAATTATAACAAAGTAGTGGAGTTATTTCACAAAAAAAAAATTGAATATCAATTCAATGAAAATTTAAAATACAGCGAATAGCCACATCTCGCCAGGACCGGTAGCTGTAAAGGTCCTAACTGGGTGATAAATCTTTCATAGGTTTCTCATAGATGGCGCTACGACTAAAAAGTCGTTGAAAAACCAAATACAAAGACACGACGCGAGTACATAGAAAAATTCGTGAGGTCCGCTGGTTCGTTCCGTTGTTTAGTTGGTATAGCGTGTGCCACGGTAAGCTAAGAGACCTCTTGCCAATGTTAGGGTCGTATTCAATCGTACTCGTAATCAAGTCCTGACTTGAGCATTGAGTAGAGTTCTGGAATACGATCCTTATGGGCAGATTTAATTTTTATTCATTTTCATTGCTGCAGAACATCATAAGTTATATTAAATGTTACAGAATTTGGCAGATTTGGGAATATTCGGGAAGTACTTTATTATTTTTGGGAACAAACTGACAACTTGTTGTTTTCTACTACTACGAACATACATCTGAAGCAAAATACAGGACAATATTATAAACATAACCTATATCAACTTGATAACACCAGCTTCTCCAAGCTCTATTAGCTTTTTTGATTCTTTGATAATGAGTCACAAGTATTGATAGGTCTAGGTCTTTAAAAAGACTGGGCCACAAAATACACGGGATGTCGCCATCCTTCTTTAGTGGTCTGTTTGTAATATTATTCAAACATTGATCACGAGCTAAAATTATTTTGTGAAGTTTAACAAATATGCTTATTAATAGATGGTATTGTGTGTTACAAACTAATTTATAAATTAACATGGGTAGATGGCGCTAATCCTAAACAAAATAAAAGAATAGTTGGCAGAATCCTTAAAAATATTATGCAATACGTGCCATCTAGTTGAGTAGAAACTAGTAGTAGAGTAGCTTTGATAAATTGCAGATCGTCAAAGTAAAACCAATTAGTTACAAAAATGCTATTTGGTACTTGTCGCGACACTGGTGTACCAATAGGTACTAAGTTAGTGTCCCATATTCCAGCGTGACCATGGTCGAATTTTCGAAATTTGACTAGCCAGAAAAAAGTCGCTATTTAGTCGGTATACATTTTTCATTATGTGTACGATTTTTCTACGTAAATGTACCTCTCAATGAAAATAATTGAATATCCAATATCTTCTAAACAAAGAAGCGCCTAATTCTAAAATTTCGCGACTAGAACCGACTAATTCACGACTTTTTGTGAATGCAATCAGATCTAAGCTAGGAGCTGTGGTTCTCGAGATTCAAATATGGTGCCGCCAGAATAAGCTTATTTGAGCGTGGATAGTAAAACACCTTAATAACTACTAAACTAACCGACTAAATCACGACTTTTTTAGTGTAATCTGATCTGAGCTAGGTGTTGTGGTTCTCGAGATTGAGGAATGGTGCCGCTGGAATAAGCTTATTTCAGCGTGGACAGTAAAACACCCTTATAACATTTGAACGGCGGACCGACTAAATCGAGTTTTTTGCGACTAGAACCGACTAAATAGCGACTTTTTCTGGCTATGCAAATTTCCAAAACTCGACTATGGTCTCGCTGGAATAAGGCACACACTAAATATCTGGCTACGCGTCCTTGTATAGCGATTAGCAGACGTCTTGATTTATTCGTTCATATTCATAATTTAATGCATGTTTTACATTGAGAAAAATGAAACTGACCATAAGCGAATAATTCATATTGTAATCACCAAAATCGTGAAAATAACTTACTCATCTGATATTAATTTAACATAACGTAATTTTGAATTCTGATTGTTTTACTTTCTCCCCCCAAGTTACTGCTAAAAAGAAGACTCCATATCGTACTGTGCCGCCGTCTAACGGTGTACGCAGCTTATTAGGATTACCAACAAACGATTGTTGATGATGGATAATGATTGTACAGTAATTATCTATTCCTTTTTCAGAGGTTGGCGAACTTATTACGTACCTGGCATCAGAGAAGAGTTCTTATGTAAATGGTGCTGTAATAGATATTGCTGGAGGTTTATAAAACCTTTGCACAGCTACACAGCAACGATTTAATAAAAAAAGATTGTAGCGTATGTGCTGTCTGTCAAATATATTTGAACAAGGTTTTCAAATTGGCCCCAGGGTTATAAGGGACAGGAATCTTTCTCTTGTCCATGTACAAAGTCTATTTTTGATATCACATATTGTATCTCGAAATCATTGTACCCACATTGAATAAAAAATATTTATGAATGTTTTCTAAGGAGTTGGTTTCATTTTAAAACTCTAAAATATTGTAAAAATGGTTTATTAACTAACTTTGCACTTGTTTTTTACTTTTCAACTTATTTTTTTTGAGTTCTGCTTTGTTCTTTTGTCGTTTATCTCTCATAAAAGTCCTATATTCTGACTTTCTTTTCTCATCTATTATTGCTTTATACTTCTTTTTATTGTACTTTTGGAACTCTGCATCAGCAAGAAGTTCATCAACTATAGTTCTCTTACGTTCCTTCTTGGTTAGACGCTCATTTACATGGTCTAGTGCAGAGTCCATGATGCGACCAACCTAAAACAACATAATTTCAATTAGAAAGGTGTGACATAATATTTCATCTAGCTTTGTATACTTCTTGATGATATTACAGGATTATCAACACCAATACATCAATTAATAACACCCCAGTCGGAGACATCTTTACATAATCTCAAAAAACCAACCTGAAGAGTCATTCATCCCCTAGTTTGCCACCCTTAGCAGCTGAATATTTTCTTCAAATTGAAATGGGACTACTACTGAGGTACCCTCTTACCAACAAAAGGAGAATCATCAAAACTGGTTCACAAATTGGAGTTATCGCATAACATATATAAAAAAACAGTCAAATTTCAGAACCTCCTTTTTTGGAATTGGTTCAAAATAGAATCTTAATTGTATTGTTCTGCGGATTTTTTGGTAAAATTACAGGCATATGGGGCTTGTCAACTTATGTCAGGGTGACGGGCGCAGTGGCAGTGCCCCTCAGATCGTTGCGATTTAAAGCTCTTAGTGGCACTGCAACTGCAATGGACAGGCATGTCTCCTCTGACTACCAGACACGACTTGTTCGTCCCATCACTTAGTATCATAAAAACGGAATGTTTTTGAAAATTTTCTGATTTATTCAAGGATACTAAAATATTTCTTTAATAACGATTCTATAACTTAAATTTTAATCAAAAAGTAGGAGTATTTTATATAAGAAAATTTTATTAAAATAGTGAAATACCTGGAAGTATTTAGGCAAGACTTCCATATCATTCTTTTTGTAAAACCGCTTCGGGTCCAGGACAGACCTCATCTTCAGAATCTGAAGGTCATTCTTCAGCTCCTCATTTACTTCTGGTGCTGGCATGTTGAACCAACCTGGTCCTTTGGTCATCTCTCTTTCTTTCTATAATCAACACAAGGGAATTTAATTATCCTTATTATATAGACTATAGAGGATTATGAACACTACCATAATATTGTATCTGCTACTTTGAACTCAACATTAATGAGCTTGAATGTAAACAATATTCTTTGGTTCATTTGTTTAGTAATCAGTATTTAATTTTTTTGTGAATTAAGTGTTATATGCTCATCAACAGTGAAATGACAATAATTGCCATCTGCGTCTGCAAACACAATTGAAAAATACTGCCTTGTTTTGAAAATAATGTTATTTGAAACATGAAGAATTTTTGTATTATTTTGTTTTATAAATCATTGGGCATGTATACAAGTACATTAGGAACTCTTTAGCTAGCTTTATAATGATTAAATTTGTCCTTAAAGTTGTTGTAGTCGTCACCTTACATGCTGATATCAAATTTTCTTCAGTTCAATGTTCAGGCATGTCTTGATGCAAGTTAAGAAATTATGAAATAGTGTAAGATAGCAACTCACATTCAAACCAGTACAAATTAGTTTCCCAATCACGATATGATCTACTAACCAGCTATTCATTCAATTTGTATCGTATGCCGCCATGGCACAAGTAGAATTTAGTAAAAAATTTGGATCATCCAAATTCGAACTTATTACTATTAGTAGATCTTGTCAATGCGGGAGTCACCACAGTTATTGATGCAGTAAAAAAAACAAACTATGTTGCTGCATTGAAAGCGAAAAAGCCAAATGAGCTTCCAGTCTGATTGCTGATGCAGAATGACTACTCTTATACAAACTTTTTCCGATTGGCAGCCAATACCGCATTGATAAGTGTGGCAACTCCTTTCATTGACATTATTTCAAACAAAACTTTGTACATATTTTTTCATTTGTGGAATTAGTGTCTTACCCTTCTTTGTGCTTTTAGCTTTCTCTTGCTAACACTATAACTGGGCAAGCAATGCTCCTTTTCTATTCCTGGCTGCAAAACAGAAGTCTTCATTTCCTTTTCTATGTTAACAGCTCCAAGTTTTGACTTAAGTTTTCCGGTTTCAACATCCAATTGATCAAAATGAAATAGCCTGTTTTTCTTTTCCTGTTTTATCATTACAGAACAGCTAGTCCATCTCATCTCGTGGAAGAATTCATCAAACAAGTTATCAATTTTCAAGTTTTTGAGTTTGTTTTGTACTTCTTCTTCTGCTATCTCTTGTTTGTCAAGTTCCTCTTTCTTTTTGTCGAATAATTTCAATATAGTTTCTGTTCTATATTCTTTATCTGTTAATAATTATTTAAAAAAGAAAAGTAATTTTCTATGAATATTGTGACTTCAATAAAGATGATACTAACTAAATTGGCTATGGCACAACATCAAAATGAAATTTATTGTTGCTGAAGAAAAACTTTGAGGTAACATTGGACTGTCTGCATAACCTAAAATTTTATTTTATTTTTTTGAGAATAAAGACATTATGTATCTTTCTGTTGCTATACAATTTTGGTTTTCAACGGATACTGATTAGATGAGTAGGTACAATATCTACTTATTGCATATTTAAATACTGTAATTTGGGTTAAACCTAACCTATCGTATATAGCTTATTTTTAGTTCCCGAAGCAATAACATAATAACAAGATGAAGCGGTAGTAATAATACTCTATGAGCGGTAGTTAGTTTCCTATAACGCTCCGATCCGATATACTTTAGTATAATGGTAAAGAATTTAGAACTTACCTACGGAGTAAGGTTTCTCGTCTCCACTGAGCAACTCTGTTTTGTCCTGTAGCTCATCGTCTCCCGCTGTGTCTATGATAAAATCCATGTTGTTATAAATTTTCCTTAATTGAAAAGTTAAACAAACTATGATAGCAATCAACACGTTACTCAAAAACAAATAACATAACGCACGACACGAGGTTCTCTGAAACAACAGAAACAACACACAACCACAATAAAGTTTGAACACTTGACAATTGATTGTGACGCAGTGTCACCAACAACGCTGGGTCCAATGTTGCCATTTTTCACAACCTTAGCAGCCTAATAATGTAGCAGAATTTGGGCTGTGGTAGCCTAAGTAGCCTAAATACTAAATATAAACAGGAATAAATTTATTAAATTGTAGTTTAAATCAATAATTTATTAAAATGAATAATGAAACATAAGTAGAATGAAAATAAAAGTAAATAAATTGACATAACGGGATAAATAACTGCCTATTGCTCCCTCCAGGTGTCACCACTGAAGAGCGTTCGGTCTTGACAGTTTTAGCTAGAATTTGTCAGTGTTTTTGTAAACTTCTTTAAGAAATAATTCTCTAATAATGACCCTCTGTGCAGCAGTTGATTGCAAAAATATGGGAATGCATTATTTATTCTCCAAAGAACCGAAAAGAAGAAAACTGTGGGAAAAAATATTCGAAGGAAAAAATTTAATGCTATTAATTTGTTGAGGTCATGTGCGTCTCAATTTAAACCTGAAGATAGATTAGGCTGAAAGAAGGATGGCGAAAGTTGCCCCAATAACAACGAAGAGCCGCTTATGGATATAGTTTGGTAGATTTGGAAATATTCGGGAAGTTCTTTATTATTTTTGGGAATAAACTGTAAAACTTGTTGTTTCTTTTACTACTAACATATCTCTGAAGCGAAATACAGGAGAATGTTATAAACATAACCTATATCAACTTTCTAACCCCAGCTTCTACAGGCTGTAGTCAACTAGCTTTTTTGATGCTTTGATAATGAATCACTGGGCTACTAAATACACATGTTGACATGTTGAGGTGTCGACATCCTTCTTTTGTAAAACAAATGTATTCCTCGTTAATACATATGGCATTGTTATACTAGTATATGTTATCATTTATTAATTTATTTTTATCTGTTTTAGGTGATGAACCTATACATAAAGTATTGAAGAAAACTGCTGTGCGCTCTATATTTTCCTTTATTAAAGTCAAACCAGTAAAATTATTAGCACAACAAGCAACGTTCAGATAGATAGTTATATGATGACGGTACCCTAAAATCCGAGATTCGAAAAATGGTGAAATAGTTAACATGAAGCATAACAGATTTGGAATGTTGCAAAAATCACGTCCATGACATTACTTAGAATTGCACAGGCCGTAAAGTCACACCACGACTCATTAAGGTTACAATTTATAACATTTTTACGACTTGTTATCGAAAAATGGAGAACTGTGTTACAAAGTAACTAGCGCACTATTCCACCGTTCGACCCCTTAGTATATAAGGACTGGAGCTGCGACTTCAGATCATTCGATTGCCAAGACCCGGTAACTCTAACCACTTCTACAGAAGTTCTTTATAAAAATACAGTTTTTATCTTAATTGGAAAAAGTATTTAACTTCAGTGAATCCTTCTCCAAAACGTAACTACAGTGGCGAAAGGTTAATTCATCTCGACGAACCTCACACTCTATCATCTCAATAAGTAACAAACAATATAACCTGAATACAATCTAAACCTAAAATCTAACGGGCACAAATATAACCCAAAAAATTTTAACTAAATATAACTTGATTGCTAAAGAAGAGATGCAAGAAACTTTGTTTTGAAACGAATAATAAAACTTAATCTAATAGATTTCGCGGGAAATTCCCACCGAAACTGACCAACCATAAACAATTTTTCTTTCTTAATGTCACAGTCTTTTTATATTTTCGTGGGGAGCTTATCTTTTCGTTAATATACGCTCATTTTTTATTCTTAACATTGTAAACCGAAAGTAGCCTAAAAGGCGACCAGTCGCCTTTCTGAATTTTTCGTCGCTGATTTTCGTCCTGAGTAGCCTAAATGGCGGTAAATCGCCTACGTTGGCCACACTGGTATGACAGATCACAGATGACATTAAAATAATTGCCATTTATTATTTCCAAATTCTTCCTAAAATTAAAACTATATTTCGTTTAAAATTAGCTTGAGTAGCATTGACTTCAAATAAATGGACGACGGGTCTAATACAAAAACCACGAAAAAAATGTCCCAAGTCAACCTATTTAAACGTAGTGACATTTCAAGGAATATGAAAAAGCTAAAACGTTGAATTTAAATTGTAATGTCATCGCAGTACTGTCTAATTTTGCTTGCTTCGCTGTCAGTCGAACAAACGAAGACTAGAGCGTGAATGACGCTCTGTATACGATTTTAACGCCCTATAAGTTCGGACACTTTTTAGCGCGGACCCGACGTCCATATAATTGTAAGTCAATGTTGAGTAGCGTAAAAAATGACGTTCTTCCGAACAGGCTAAGGTGTCTGAGCTATACTGCCAAAACTTAGAATAAAATTTAGCTTGATTAATAATTAATTACTTCAAAATTGATGAAACAATGGGACTTTAAAATTTAAATATATCTATTATATTATGTTATTATGTAGTTAAATTGGTGTTATAATATTATACTAATAACAACAATTAATAATAATCAACTCATAAAATATATGAATAGGCTCCTCCTCATAAATAATGATGAAATAACGTGGTGCCAGTAATTTCTTAATATGCAGTTAAATTTCCGTAGTTGTAAGAGTACAATTTAAGCATTAAGCATATAATTTTCAAAATTACCACCAAACAATGTTTTGGCTGGATGGATTGAATGACTATATATTTTTCATTGTGTTCCAATACAACTTTTTGTTGGACGTAATTTGTCTGGATTAAGTTACGAAAATATTTATTCATTATCATGCTTTGCAGTCCGCCTTGCCGTTCGCCGCATAATGCTGGATTATGAATGTAGTCGCAGCGTGCAAGCCATCGTGCAATGAGTCCTGCGAGAGTCTTTACGTGGGCCATACGCAGGATAGTGCATGATCAGTCTCCTTCTTGCGCGGCGGACTGCCATGCAGGTAGTGAATGGGCTGTTTTAGTGTAGTAACTCCATTAGTGATAGTGATGTGTTAATGTCTTGTAGATTTCAATTATCGTATGTTGATCGGTGTAAACGAAAATAATTACGTAAAATAGTTATTGCTTCATGTAGTTTAAAAAAGTGATAATTTTAATTTATTATTTTAGTTTGTAGTATGCAGTATATGTCTACTTAATTTTGCCAACCTGTCATTCTAATCAAGCTAATTTTTAAGGAGTATAGTGTCACTATAAAAAAGCACAAGCTTTCACTCATGTTTGTCTAATTAGGGCATGCCCATTATTGCGATTCGGTTTAATGTTTAAATGAAATAAAATTTTGTTTTAGAGCATTGACACGCAAAGTGAATAAATGCTATTAGATCACAATTTTCAAAAAGAACTTTGATAAAAAACTCCAATTTCTAGAACCATTTTATTGACGCGCATTGCAAAAACTTAACATAGAGTTTAAATATAACATTGTTGGCAACATCTACCAAAAGTGTATTCGTTTCATTGTAAATTTGTTTTCGTCACTGAATAACTTCTCTTTTTAGAACTATAAAAATTTTAACTCCATGGAACCAAGCACCCATTAAACTTTTAGGTACATTAGTTTTTTCTTGTTTCTCTAAAGTACAGCCTTAAATATTTTTAGCTTCTTTCATAATAATTATCGACCCAACTCGGAAACGCAAACCAATTCGCAGCTTTTTCATATATTAACCCTTAGAGCGTATAGGACGAGAGGCGCTATTGGCGTTATTTCTCGAACAAAACTCTCTGCCACCTTTAGACGGGCGGGGAGTAAGGCGCTATTAGCGTTATTTCTCGAACAAAACTTTCTGCCGCTTTTAGAGGGGCGGGTGGTAATTATTACAAGCAAACAGGTGCACTCAAATGCATTAATGAGTTGTGTCATTATGGTCTCACACAGACAAAAATCGACAACATTAGCTTATTTTTACAAGTACATACATAAAACACACATTCATTCATTCATTCATGTTCGTACACACAATAGGCCTATAAAAAATGATTCTCATGAATATGCTAGAGACGGAAAGTTATTGACGTGATGGTGTCGATATGTATTACGTACCTACTGGTTAATCACGTACTTGAAATGTAATTCCACAATTCCACCCTAGGCTAAACTGGATGTAGCGAATTACTTTTTGCAATTTTGTATGGCTCAGCGCAAGACGACATATATAATAATGGAAATGAAAAAACATCGATTCGAAAGTAGTGTTTATTGTGCGATGGATTTTTATTTACTAGTACCTTGACAGAGGGTACTGCCTATCGATGACGCATCCAGTCCTATACGCTATAAGTATTAACCTAACCTAGGGCTCAACTCACACTGGCGCGAAGTCGAAGCGTCGCGACGCGTCATGTTTTTCGCGTATAGTATATTCATCTGTGGCCTATATAACTGCCTCTGTGGCCGAACGGTTACCATGCCGGGCTGCCACCCAGAGGTCCCAGGTTCGATTCCCGGGCCGGGAGAAATATTTGTATGACCTACATTTGTTTCTCTTGTGAGTTTGGGTGTAAATTGTGCTTGTCTATATGTGTGTCCATGGCACCCGCAACACAGGGTTTCCCTAGTGCGGGGCTATGTTGAGTGTTTAAAAAAAAAAATCAAATATATCTCTATTTTTCCATTACTAAGGTACAAATTTGCGTTATGCAAATATGGAAACGGGCGTCGACGCTTGGATGCAGTCGAGCAGCTTCGCGTGTCAGTGAGGCGTCAGACGCCGACCACACTGTGATTCGGGCGCACTAATGCGAGTGTCGTCGCCAAGCGTTGTACCTAGTTGAAAAACAGGACGCGACGCGACGCTTCGACTCTGCGCCAGTGTGAGTTGAGCCTAAACCCACAGCTCGGATATGAATACGTAAATGATTAATTAGATTTTTTGTTTTTCGTTTAATACTTTGCCTAAGCCACGGCCAGCATTCTATGCAATAGGTACTGTAGTCTAGGCTCTACTCTATGAGTAGAACTACTGGCTGA